CCTTCATCAGGTGATCTGATGTTGAATTTTTAGTTCTTATAACCAGTCTTGTGTCTTTATCTGGAGTGATCTGATGTTGAAACTATATCTTTATATACTCTAGTCTTGAGTCTTTATCTGGAGTGATCTGATGTTGAAACTTGAGTTCTTATATACTCCAGTCTAGTGTCTTCATCAGGAGTGATCTGATGTTGAAACTGTAGTCGTTATGTACTCCAGTCTAGTGTCTTTATCAGAACTGATCTGATGTTGAAACTTTAATCCTTACATTCTCCAGTTTAGTGTCATCATCAGGAGTGATTTTATGTGGAAATTATGCATGTGACGCGTCAAACATCTGCGATCTTTTTATAGCAATCCCAGGCTTCTTAGTTCACGAATACAAAGATTACCTTTTCTTTTACAGTGGTGGAAACATACGCAAACTAAGTACAGCGATAGCTTTGATTGGCGATCCACTCATAATTTTTCTCGATGAACCAACAACTGGGATGGATCCTGTTGCAAGACGACTGTTTTGGAACACTTTATGTAGAGTCAGAGCCGAAGGTATGAAACTTGTGATGAAGCGGGTTTCCTTCCGGGGGGGGAGATGTGTTGAAGAATGCAATTACATACAGTTGATACCCGCCTAATATGAGCGCCATTTTGGTTATTATTAAAAATAATAATCTCTCCCCTTAGGTCGATGCCTTATGATTGGTAATCACTTTGTACCCACCCTTCTCAGGTCGATGCCTGATGATTGGTAACCATTTTGTCCCCTCCCCTCTCCCCCTAGGTTGATGCCTTATGATTGGTAATCATTTTGTTCCCTCCCCTCTTTCCTTAGGTCGATGCCTGATGATTACGTCACATAGCATGGAAGAATGCGAGGCGTTGTGTACTCGGTTGGCAATCATGGTCAATGGCAAATTTTGTTGCCTCGGTAGCCCGCAACACCTGAAGAACAAATTCGTTCAAGGATACACTTTGTTGGTAAGCCCTCCAAGTGACACGCCCAGTAATGACACGACCTTGGTAAAAGAATTCGTTGCAGAGACGTTCCCAGGCAGTGAACTTCGAGACGAGCACAATGGCTTGTTGAATTACCACATAGGCGATTCAAAATGGGCTTGGTCTTCCCTGTTTGCGATCTTAGAAGATGCGCACAGCCGTTCTGTTATCGGTAATTATTCTATAAAGCAAACCACACTGGATGAAATATTTTAAATTTTGCTCTCTCACAGGAGGCTACGACGATTAGATGGTCGATTAATATTGTCCTACATGGGGCACTGTGACCATTTATTTTGAATTATTACTAAATCTTTTTTATCGTCTTAAGTGATTGTTTTGTTGATTTTAATTTTTTCAATCGCGCCTTGTATACGCCACTAAATGTTGCAACTACCAAAAAGAATTACCCGAATGAAGTAAGCACGACGCATGACCAAGAACCCAGTCTACTAGATATCTGACTCCGCCGAAATTTATAGTTACGAGTGAGGCAAGCCGCCATCTTGAAAGGTGGCAAAATTGACGATATTTACGACTAAAAATCACTCTTCAAACCTTCTTTTCTTGGTACGGAGTCAGCAGGTATCCACGAAACTTGCTTTAACTGCATTATGAAGTGCGATGTAATATAAAGGAGAAGCTATGCTTTGTCGCCTTGATTTCGAGCAAGAAATGCAAACAGCGGCAACGAGCTCAAGTTTAGAAAAATCTTATGAAATACCTGATGGTCAGGTTATTACATTTGGCAATGAGCGATTCAGATGCCCTGAAGCACTCTTCCAACCTTCTTTTCTTGGTATGGAGTCTACAGGTATCCATGAAACTTGTTACAATTCAATCATGAAGTGTGATGTTGATATCCGTAAGGATCTTTATGCCAACACTGTCCTCTCTGGTGGGTCAACCATGTATTCTGGTATTGCTGACAGAATGCCGAAAGAAATCATTGCCCTTGCCCTCCCACAATGAAAATTAAGGTTATTGCTCCACCAGAAAGAAAGTACTCTGTCTGGATTGGTGGCTCCATTTTGGCCTCTCTTTCCACCTTCCAACAGATGTGGATCTCGAAACAAGAATACGACGAATCTGGACCTTCGATTGTGCACAGGAAATGCTTCTAGATTGCTTTTGACGTTTAACAGTTAATTAAAAATATATGATAGAGTTGGTTTGTTTTTATTGTTTTTCGAACGCTTTCGTATCAAAGGTCCGCATTAAAAAAAAGGAAAATATTATGGAGTTTGTTGACTAACGTAGCATCAAAGTTGAAATAGATAAAGCCTTTGTTGGTTTTATTTGCTTCCTTCGTTTGTATAAAGACCTGATTTTCATGTTTTCTTTATTTATATCTTTAAAGTTATTTGAATTTTAATTTGTGAAATTTTGATGATTGAACATATAATTGAACAACAACAAACCCTCGTTTATTTTAGTGGCGAGCATGCGCTGTGGTGATAACACTAACATCTGACAGTTATAATCATATAACATAATAATAACAAACATGTGACAGTCAAATGACTAAGATGTGAAATGACCATTATGACCTCTCACCTTCTCAGAAAATGATTTCATCACAAGCATTCACGAAATCTGCCAACCAATCAAATCAAGTTTTTTTTCACCACTATAAACAATCATCAATTGAAACAACCAATCACTTTCAAGGCAAATGGTGAACATGATACCTCACGATGGTATACTTAGGCACATGACTGGATGCTGATAAGAAAATGTTGCTACGGCAACCCTGTAAGTCTATATATGACATACGACCATACATAACATCGAACACGTTGGAAAGCCAAATTCGCAACTTTGTTCGTTTTAGTCCTTACCAACAAACAAACGCAATCTGGTGAGCGTTTTTGGCATTGTGAGTAAATAGAAGAATTAGTTACATTTTTATCGATTCATTGACATTGAAAGTTGCTAGCAGTTTGTGATACGAATTTTGTACAAAACTAGCATCCGTCAACCGGCAAGGAGGTCTTACAGAGTTTCTCGCTTTCAAATCACATAAAACCTTATAAGTAAATGAAAAGTCTTAATTATGATGCAATCGGGTCAGATGCAGTGGCGTGCGGTCATGCAAGCGTGCGGTGGCGTGCAGTGGCGTGTGGTCAAAAATTTTGGATCAATCTCTGAGCAAAATCAGTTTAAATTTTTCTGTTCTAAACAATGTCAATGTAATCTTTTGTCTAAATTGTCTTTACAGTTGAAATGCTTGCTATTTATACGCGATTTACTGTCGTGGTTTTCGGTTTCACTTTGCTACACTTGTAAGATGAGTCAAGTGTATTAAATTAAGTGGATTAAATTAATTATTTATTAACCAAGGCAAGCGCTTGCCTTCGGAGCTCAATTTGAACATTTGCGCATGCGTTAATCTAGATTTGGAGGCTTCTTATTCGAGGAATATCGAGAAAATGCAAGCGGCGCTTCTAAGGGCGCCGCTTGATAGCGATGGTCAACAGTCTTGTACGCTCGCAATTTTAAACACATATCAGCGCACGAATAATATTCGTATATTCAACACATTGGACATCCGAATTATTCACGCCGTTAATGTTATCGTTTATTAAAAGATGACTGAGAGCGAAAGGTAATGTTCTGATTTCTAATTCAAAGTAGTAGTAGATTTCTAATTTATGTATGTAGAAGATATTATCTGTAGCATGTTATACTTTAGCGTTATATAAGTCTTGCGTATGAGCTCTGAACGTGATTTCAATGTACTAGAACGCTATTAAATTTTGTGATTATTTTATTCACTAGCAAAGAAGTTATTTACAACAGTCGTGAGTATTCTATATGTTAGAATTTATTTACAGGCTTTTATATATTTTGATAATGATAAACAAGGTGCAGTTATTACACAGCGGATAATGTACTTGAAATTTGAGTAGTTTTACGTAATTATAAAGTTAAGTGCGTAAGTTTAAGTAGCGCGTTTGAGTAAGTGTAGGATTGGCTATTTCTTCTATTGCTAATACATGAATCTAGATGAGTAATGTACGCACGTTATGTACGTCACTACAAGATATCATGTACTGATGTAAGGTATAAATAAGATTGATGTTCCTATAAAATATATAGCATAGGAATTTTCATCCTTTATGTTCTACTTCTACAATTCGGTATTTTCACGACACCTGTACGACATGACTGAATGCATTGTGGAATCACTGTTATCCCGCTCATTTGGATTGGGACCTTTTCCGAGAAACGAGAGATCGTCGAAGGTGGCCGTCCCACTCCTGAGTTGCAAGGACTACATACAACATCCAAGCGAAGTGGTAAAGTCTTTATTCGAAGTTTTCAGACGTCAAATTACGACAAGTACAAATGGCTGGCTGGCTCCTCAAAATTGAATAAGTTATTTTGCTGGCCGTGTCTTTTGTTCAACTCAACAGACAAGACAGTCTGGTGCAAGAAGGGATACGATGATTTGGCCAACCTGTGTAATGCCGTCAACAGACACGAGAAAACGAAGACACACTTGTCCAGTTGCCTAATGAATGCCAGTTTTGGGCGTACACGCATCGACATGCAGCTAGACGAACAGGCCCGTCAACACATCTCAGCTCACAACTTGATGGTGCACAAGAATAGAGAAGTACTTCGCCGTTTCATTAATGTTGTTTGCTTTCTTGGCAAACAGGAACTTTCTTTCAGAGGTCGGGGGGAGCTGGAGGAGTCTGCCAACAGGGGCAATTACGTCGAATTGATAAAACTGCTAAGTGCATATGACCCCACGCTTGAACAGCATCTTCATACAGCAACCGTGTTTTCTGGACTTTCTAATCGTATCCAGAACGATTTGATTGTTGCTGTCAAGGACGTTATGTTGAAAGCAATAAAAGATGAAGTGATGAGGAGCCCATTTGTTGCTATTTCCCTGGATGAAACCTCCGACGTTAAGACCTTATCGCAGCTAACAACTATAGTTCGCTATGTCAACCAGATGGTAAAGCTGTGGAGCGCTTTCTTGGATTTACCGATGTAAGTGAGGATAGAACTGCGGCTAGACTGAAACAAGAAGTCGGTAAAACCCTGAACGAGTACGGATGCGGCGAAAACTGATTGCCCAAACGTATGACGGTGCGAGTGTGATGTCAGGAGAACTGTCTGGTTTGCAAACACGAGTAAGAAGACTATCCACATGCTCTTTTTATCCACTGTTGCGGACACGCATTAATTTTGGTCCTTGTTCAAGCTGTCTCGTCAACTAAAGAGTGTCGTATATTTTTTAAAACCGTCACTGGTCTTTCATCCTTTTTTCACGCCTCGTCCAAGAGAACATACCTGTTGGACACAGTTGTCGGCAGACGCATTCCCACTGGAACAGCTGTTCGATGGCACTATCAGAGCAGGTTAATCCATGCTGTACTGGAGACAAGAGCAAAGCTGCTCGAAGTTTTCGAATACATCATCGAAAATGATGACGAGTTTGACGGTACGACGTTAAACGAAGCGAGGGCTACCGACAAGTTCTTGCAGATTTCCAGTTTGTGTTCTGCCTTAAAATATTTTCAGAAATATTTGGTCTTACGGATGTTTTGTATAATATCATTCAGAGTAAGCAGTTCGATATTGTCTTCTGTGTCACGAAAGTTCGCGAGACGAAAGATAAGATTCAAGAACAACGAACAAAATTCGTAGATTATTGGAATTTTACGTCAAGTATCGTCAAAGTAGCACTGAAACGCAGGCAAAGTGAAGAGGATGTAAAGGCGTCCTTCCGTCAAATGTTTTCTGTGTAGTCGATACCATTGTCGTGCAGATTGACTCTAGATTCGAAAGTCTTAACAGCAGAGCATTCGTTTCTTTGTTGGATCATTCAAAGCACGAATTGTACAGCCGGAATTTTCCCGAACGAGAGCTGCAATCGTTGCAAGATTCATATGGAACATTCTTTAATCTTCAAGCACTAAAAGTGAACTAATCGTTGTATACGCATCTGCCGAGCTCAAATCGAAACCTGTTTTGATATGATATCAAAATAATCGAACTTGACTTGAAAGCCTGTTTTCCAGAGGTGTACCGATTGTGTCAGCTCATTGTTACTATGCCAAGTACGTCCTCCTCTGCAGAAAGATCATTTTCGGCTCTCAAGCGTATCAAAACGTATCTTCGCAGTACACAAGGGCAAGAGCGACTTTCTGCATTGGCTACAATTTCAATCGAGAAGGAGATGTTGGCAAGTTTGCAGGGGAAGCCACGATTCTATGAGGACGTTATAAAGGAGTTTTGCGCAAAGGAAAGACGGATGGAATTTACATTTAAGTAAATCTGTTGTAGGATTTTGGACTATTTCGTTCTGTTACTTCTTCACTACAATAGAAATGCACGCGTAGCCATTTACTTAAAACGACTTTATATCACAATACCACATGTAATACTTTTAAACCGTAATTGTGATATATACTCTATAAAGTTTTTGAATTTTTAGATTTTTCAATACTGTTTCAGTCATGACAGATACATTTTTCGACAAAGTACTCCCAGAAATCGCGGGAAATGCGCTCCAGTAGCCTTCAAAATCCAAAATTTTCTGGGGAGCATGCCCCAGAACCCTAGATAGCTTCGCGGCATGCCGCGAACCTCACCAGCGCTTGCCTATTAAATTCGGTCACCCACGCCACTGGTCAGATGGAAAGCAAACAACGTTAATTCGTGATTCAAACGCAGCATTTTCTGACTCCTGACTCATGAGTGTTTGCAAAGTGTCGCGACAAAGATGGTGGAGTTTTTTTTATTTAAGTAAATGGTACTTTAACTGCTTTTTTAGATCCTACGAGTTGATGGTTTTGCATTCTTGAGTTCTTTCGAAAATTTAAGACTATTTTAAATGGTACCAGTTAAAAAACTTGCTGGGAGAATGTCAAAATTGAAACAACTTGGTCTACTGATATGGAAGAACTTCAAGCTTCAAAGAAAACATCCGATTGGAACTATTTTTCAAATAGGTTACCATGCTGCGTGTCATTCATACTCCTGGCCTTGCGATTGTTCCTTTTCACTGCCAAAGATTGCCCAGCCTTGGTTTGGAATGAATTCAATGTAACCTCTCCACCACCTGCACTAAGAAGATCATTCTCTATAGGGTTGGCTGCAAATAATGCTTCTCAACTCTCCCATGAGCTTTTCAACAACCTTACATTTTATCTTAATGAACATGCTTATCCGGATCAAAACATCACCTTGCAAATATTTCCAAATGAGGATGACATGGTTAATGAAATAATGAGCTCCTCTGAAGGCAACTCTACCAAATGCATTGGAGGTATAT